TTCAGCAGGCTGATCTTCTTTATGCCAACCCACAAACATCACTATAGGTATCACAGGGGCATTTCTGTGCCATAGAAAAGATTTCATTTTCCAGCTCTCTGCTCTGAGAGCGTGAGAAAAGGGGATCAAACATACTCTCAGAGGAAAAAACTAAAACAGGACTTGGAGAGCTAGAGGGATGTGACGTTGGGTAGAGTTCATGAAAGAGCAAGAAGAAAGAGAATGAATACAGAGTAAGAAGAAAAGATCGGTTTTATGGGGTAGGAGACCAGACTGTGGTGTCGGGAACCCCTGTCAGCTTCAGTCTTAGCATTACCCAGGTTTAGGCCACAGGCCAAGGCAGGTGTGAGGATCCAGCAGCCAGGCCAGGGTCAAACAACATAATGAACACTTCAAAAGGGGGCAAACATCAGGAGTTCCTCTGAAAGCACAATATCTACCTTTGGAAAGATAATCCAACCTACAGTATTATATGTGTGGTAATCCTGCTGTGGTATTCCTAGATCTGCATCAGAAAAACTGGAGCTCCACCACAGTATTTCATCACAGAGCTTTAATTACATCAATGATGCTCTGGCTTCACAGCAGCCCAACTACCACCTTCCTGACCAAACACACCTGCAGTTGTGGAAAGTAACTAAGTACATTTACTCAAGTACTGTACTTAAATACAATTTTGAGGTAGTTGTACTTATTTATGTATTTTTACACTGTTGTATTGCCACTTTTACTTAAGTAAACAATCTGAGTACTTCTGCCCCCAGTGCACACCTGAGAGAAAGATGGACAAAAATGCAAAAGAGCTGAGTGAAGTATCCACAGACCGGAAAGAAGAGGAGAAGATGGATAAATGGAGGATGCAAAAGTCTGTGAAACTGAGGACAGGGAGCCAGAGGAGCAAGACTAAATACAAATGAGATTCCAGCAGCAGAGAGACTGAATCACTGGAGATATGAGATACTAAAACAGTGTAACAGATACTCACACCACTCTAGGACACTGGCCCCAGGTACAGCGCTGGTAGTCCGGTTTGGTGTACGTCTCCACCCCATCCTCCATAACACAACTAACTGTTCGTGTCACCACATAAGCGCACCAGTTCCTGTGAAATCACACACATCAGCAGGGAAAAGGAAATGGTAAATGGATAAATGTGCAATGACAGGCAGTTTTAAAATAAGATTAAGGTCAGGTGTTGAAACAAACATTGCAGCTGTTTTACACACACACACACACACTCTTATTCACCATAGTGCTGCTCTTTGTTTCTAGGCAAAAAGTGGAAAAATATAAAACATGAATAATAATCAAAAATCCACTCATTTGTTGACTGTGTTTCTTATTCACCATAGAGAAAACATGAATAATATTAAAAAATCCACTCATTTGTTGACTGTGTTCTGAGGTCAGTATCTTAAACCCTGGACTGATTATTATCCTGTACAACATTCAAGAGAAATTGTCTTTTGGTGCCAGTGTCAGATTAGTTCAGGATAACTGCATGACTGCAACAATGGCCCCCATTGTATACCTTGCCAAAGCTACAATAACCCACACAAAGTGTGTCTCTCTCTCTCACACACACATCCTTGTTGTGTTTCTATGCATAGCCATGTAAAAAAGTGCCATTGGTTGCATTCATTCCAAAGACGCTCAGTGTGATACTGATATAATAAAATAAAATTTCATGCCTCTCAAATGTCTATGATTTCATTTTAATCTTCAACCATCTCACATATTTCACACAAAATCAAATTAGGAGTGTATCTGGAGCTGGACCCTGAGATAAAGGAATAGTTCTACACTTTGGGAGCTATGCCTATTTGCTTTATCCTCAAGGGTGACACTAGAAAATGGATATCTTTCTCAATGCATTAAAGGACAAGATAACAAACTGTTGAGTCTGTTAAGTAATACTCACATTCTCATAAGTAAGTCAAACCTACTTTATTTCATTTAATCCTGTTCTTAACTCAAATCTTAAATTTTAACTTCTAAACTGTCCTGATAAACACATTCTTGAACTCAAACTGAAAGGGACAGAATTACAAGAAACACACTCCCACATGCTCACCCTGTCCAGCTCAATTTGTCCTCATCCCCCTGGACCCTTAGATTTTTCTCTCAATAGCAACTGCAAAAACATTTAAGTTACGCATGTCCTTCAGTTGCTTTCTATGATCATTTTCATATGACCCAGAACCCCTCTCCACTGCTCTTTCCTTGGTGGTTATTATATCCAAATTAGTGTCACTCTCAGATTCACCTAAGCAGAACTATGAAAGGTTTTCAGTTAAAAGTTGGAGTGTACATGGAGTTCCTTCATGCTGAAAAATCAACTGGCAGCTTTCGTCTCTCTGTCTTCATGTCTATATCTCTGTTTTCTGTCTGTCCGTCTGTCACTTTCACTCTTGCTCTGTGTTTCTCTGGGTAACTCCTTGTATTTTTTATTTTAGGCTCACCTTGTCTGTGTGAATGTCTATCTTCCCACACCTCTCAAACGTTTCCTCACTTTTGCTTTTCACTTTCATTTCATCCATCCGCACCTCCCTCTGTTGACCAATGTTTATCTCCTTCTCCCTTCTTATCCTTTCAACTTTGTTCTCTCTCCCTCTCAGTGCCCCTCACTGACTAACCCTCACCCAGTCCCCCCAACACCATGATCCTCCTCTTCATTCCGGAGCTTGGCTAGCTGACACGAAGAGTTTATCATGTTTGGATTCTCCCCAACCCTGCTCCTCCTGTTGCTACTGTGCATGGGAAAGTAAAAACTCTAGGATAAGGTCTTTCTCTAGGAACATTCATCCACTGAACTGGAGTCAGACTATATATATAAATATATATGCTGTAAGGAGGAATTGTTTTTCAGCTTGATGGTTTTCCGAAATTTAAAAGCTTATTTAATGACATTTAGTTTGCACTAATAGTTACTAGTAACATTCAAAACATTTGCTCAACAGGCTTAAGACTGATAAAAATAAAAGTAGGTACTTATATAATATTAAATGTGTTACAGGTTAATGCATCAAGAAATAATATAATAAACATTTTAATTTCAATGTGCTGTAAGTTCTTCTTGGCATTCAAATGATCATGACAATGCTGTAGCCCTGCAGGAAATAATTGTGTGATGGTTGAATTTTTTTAGTGGAGTTAGTTAGTTTAGAAATAAAACATAAGCACATAAATTGCCACTAGAGAACATGTGCAAAAATTCTTAAAATTCTATAAAGTTGTGCTGATCTGAAATGACTCCTAAATGTGGTTGGATTCAGGTCGCCCTGGAGTCAGCATTGGATTGAACAGAAGTCAATGTCATTTAGCTGAAATGATCCATTCAGTGCCATAACTCCCCCTGGTGACACTATACATCTGAAATCGGCCATCGTTGCTGCTTCCAAACACAGCTGCCTCTCCTCTTGTAGAATTCTAATATCTTACAGTTCATCACAAGATCCTTATTGCATTATGCTGCGTGAGGGTTTGCTGTGTTATCCTGTTCTGTGGTTTGCTATATTATGTGTGTTGAATTCAAAGTTTTTGCGAAACAGGGTAATCTAACATCTCCATCAGCAGTTGAAACAATACCAAAAGGAAAAGGAACACCTAAAAATAGACAGCGCTGTTAAATCGAAACAGCTTTGTCTTTTCTCCCTGTAGTCCCACAGTGTTGTTTTTGTCACTGTGATTCAGTGAACCAGTTCTTCCAATCTATTATCCTGACTTGCTTGCTCTCAGGGCCATAGACAACAGATAAAGCATAAAGTTGGCAATGTTCACACCCTGACTGCTCTGATGGAGAACAGGCACTGTCTCATATAAATAAACCTAACCATCGCTCCTTTTTCACTACTGAGCATACACAGGCAGGGGTGCATGCACACAGAAATCAAGTCGTCTCTCAGCTTCCAAACACCCACAGTTACTGTACATACCCCCTCCCCTGCCAGTTCATTTTCCAACCTTCCATCAGCCCTGGCTTCTCTCTCCTGGGACATGCATAAGAGGAGCCTTTATATTTGTTAGATGACTAAGTGTGAGTGTAGCGCTGAAAGACTATGTCTGTGGGTGTGCGTCTGTGCTTGTGCCTAGGCGTATGCTCTCATGCAAAAGAGTACATTAAATGTGTCTATGTACGTCCCTTTATGCTCTCCAGCATGCATGTTTTATAATGCATAGGTGACACCTCACAAAACAACATTTTAGCTCCAAACCCACTGACCTCTCTCTCCCTCTAACCAGCATGAAGTTAAGCATTCCAAACAGCAATCCAATAAACTCCCATTGGCTGCAGACAAATCGCTCAGATGAAAGGCTGTTAACTAGACTTGGCATTCTTTCTAAAAGTGTAATTATGGTGTACACACACAAACAAGGGAGAGAAAGAGAGTGCCAAGCATTTGCAAGAGTGCCACACAGGCCATGCAGACACATACATAAACACATAAACATTGAGACCATGAATTTAACCTGCTTATTTTCCCACTTCAATACACTTAAACATAAGATAAGCAAGCAACCTATTATGGACCATATGTTTCATTGTTAAGCAACATCTTGCAGCCATGTGAGACTGCGTCAGTCTTTTCAGCAAAAGCGACAAAATGATGTTTATGTTCAAGTGACAAAGCCCTCTAGGCACTGGTGAGCTGCATATGTGTGAAGGTACCATCGACGCTGAGAGACATGCCGCCATCAAGGCATCGTCTTTTCCCTGGAAGTCTGTGGAAACCCATTATATTTAATGCCACCAAGCAAAGCTCAGTGCAGCGTAGCATGCAGAGGTCAAAGTTCACCCTAGTTGAATTTTGACCTCTACGCAGCTGGTGTATGTTGCTCTAATAATACATTCATGGTCTGAATTATCAGAGTTATATGACCAAGTTTACATTACTATAGAGACCTCAGGAGGAAAGTCATGGAAACAGATTTCCATTCAAGTACACATCTGGACATCTGGTGTGTTTTAACAGTCAGGTAGTTTGTTGTAGGTAGGCAATATATGTAAAAAGCTCTGTGACATGTTCCCCTTCAATTGCTTAACAGACCTATTACATTTTTTTTATTTAGGTCATGAGTTAAAAAGGTGTAGTTTTCATAGACAATATTTTATTATTCCAAAAACCTTGTCATGTTTTCTCCACTTAAGTCCGCTAGAGTCCACTGAACTCAGCCAGTGCAACGTGAGCCACCTTCTATCTGAAAGCCCCTTTAGTCATACAACATCATGTTTATTGAAAGGTGAGAAAGAGAACAAGTGTGGGTGTGTGTACTCAGGAGCTAATCTCCCTGTTTTCTTTACCATATCAGCAACACAAGGAAACACAGCACATGAGCAGTCCAGAGCTGCACGTATTATTGAATGTTTTAACTGCAGTACGTGTTTATCAGATAGCAACAGATTAAGACAGAATTGTGAAACTATAGTGCAATATTTGTCTTAAAGTCTCAAAGAGCTGCTAGAAGAATGGTGCATTAAAATCCACAGAAATTCAAAAGAAATTCTTGTGGAAATGTTTCCAAAGATACTAAATGAGTATGTATAGGCTCAGTTTTAGGTTAATGTTTAGCCCCATTTGGGACCATCTCATGCTTTTCCTAGAAGCAGCTGTGTGAAGGTCAGAGGAAAAACATTTCACTTTCAGTGGTCATCCAAACACACAACCAAAACAACTTTTGATAAAAATAATTTGAATTCTGCAGTTTTTTAAAGGTCATGGTTAGAATTGTTCCATAAAGCTGGAACATACAAAACTAGATAAAGTAGTGCAAGATTACAGTCAGTGTTTCTCACTAAAACACACCAAACGTGTCAAGTATATTTTCTAGCTTGTAAAAAACATTTGAAAATCTGATTCTTTACATTCTTTACAACATTAGCATTCATTTAAAATCCTGTTTGTGTTCATCTAACGAAGGAAAGCCCAACATTTGTTTTCATGTCTCTATCCACTAATCTCCCAAGGAATATTTAAATGCTAGTTGCTAACTTTATCTGTCTGCTGTTTGGTTTGGTTTTTAGAGGCTTTTTGCTAAAACAGCTGCCTGTCTTGTCTGGAAATAACACTGATGAGAGCAGTGAGCGTGAACCAAACCAGTAAGGTTGCAGGCCGTAAAGTCAAATGAATGAGTTCAGAGAACCTGAAATGCTCTGTAAAACTGAGGGGGACTGCAAAGTTGGGTGGTAATTCTCTGTAAGTTTGTCACTACGATCACCTCATGTCACATTACACATTATCATTTGACTGACTTTGATATAGTGCCCCCAAATTCCCAAAGGTCCTCAGTTCTCTACAGAGTCAAGTGATAATTCTGTTGGTTTAACATCATGAGCAGCCCAACATACATATAGTTACCAGGAAACAAGCCTAGACAGACATACGTACATGCATGTTAATTGCTTTGTCCTCCATCAGGTGCAGAGCAGTGACACTTCCATTATACACATTGTATTTTTATTCATAGAGCCATAACTCAGTGTGAATAGACCTCCTGTACCATCTCTTTATTCCCCAGTAAATTTCACCTCCCTATGAAGCAGCAGACAGACACCTCATGGCCAAGCAGGAAGTTGTGGTTTGACATCTCAGCCCACACAGGCCAGGTTCACTTTATTCAAAAGCATCTCTGCTTTGTGAAAGTGGAATATCCAGTGACAGGGAATTAAGTGGGAGGGAGAATGAATGAGAAAAAGAATAAAGGAAGCTAAGGTTTAATACTTAGACAAAGAAATCACTTGGTGGTGCCCGATGTCAAAGGATCTTTCATTTAGCTTCAAGGGAAGGCTTCGTCAGCGACCTGAATGAGTAGATGGAAAGCGGAGTGCCTCAGTGTTTGAACTGTGACCCACAGGTCAAAGACCCTTCCAATGTCCTTGTAAAGGTATCCCCCTGTACACACACCGAAAAACACACAGACAACAACATACGCACTTGAGTGCACTTTCTCATGCTTGAACAGTCGTGCGCCGACAGACAAACCCTCACAAAGGCAGACACACACATTCTTCCAGTCTCTTTGCTCAGCCTTTAAACACAGTTTTACTCGCGCACATGCACATTTCCCCTTGGACCTGCTTCAACATAAAGGGACAGCGTGACTGTGTAAACTTCTCTCTGATTGTTTAACGTGGTGGTCACAAAGATATACAGACAGTGTCCATGATACTGCCATTTGCTTTAACATTATTGCTCAGATACATCAGCGCTCATAGATCTACAGGGTTTTTTTTTTTTTTTTTGGGTTCAGCTGAGTTTTAGCCATTTATGGAGCCATAAAACCCTAAGTCCTCTCAAAGCCTTAAAACTGCAGTTGCCCAGAATGGAGCAGACTGTTTATTTTTATTAGCTGCTCCAGACACAAAACACAGAGTTCAGTGACTGAATATGTTGTCATGTTCTTCCATTTACACTTTTAACTTGACAAGAGATTTAATGTTTCAGTATGAGAGTGAGCATCACTATTCTGTAACTGTAGCCTATTTCAACGAGGTAAAGAAGGCTTTCTCAAATGCTGTGCATGCTGGAATCTGTG